CGAGAGCGGCTTTGAGGGGAAGAAAAGTCGAGCCGAGCAAGGAGGAAGAAGAGAGAAGGATTTTCTTGATCGATCCTAGAGGGAAGAAGGCTGCGATTCTTGGCTAATTGTGGAAAAATTCTCTTCTAATCTCTTTTGTTGTGTTCATATGTCAAATTCCTTGTCAATTGAATATTAGGGTTGTCAATTCTCTTTCTTTTTATTATTACAATCTCATCTTCTTCTTCCTAGAAACCTTTGAAAGTTCATATGGTTTTATTCCATTAGTGTAGGGTGTTTGGGATGGCTTAATTGTTGTCAAAATTTCTTATGAACACCTTGAGTGATTTCCTTGTTTAAGTTCATGTTTTTGTTATCTTCATTCTTCTAGATTCGTGTGATTAATTTCCTTCATCTAAGACCTTGTTTTGAACCATCCATAAGGTCCTCAAAAAAGTCCCTAAAAGGTCTTAATGTGAGACTTAATGGTGGAGAAAACTCAAGCCCTAGTGGTGTTTTCTCTATTAGCCAAGTACCTTATTTTTCTCATATAAGCAATGTACTTTGAATCATGGCTTGAGATTGAAATTGTTATTTTAACTTATTGACATGTTGCTAATGTTAAGACCTCGATTTACAACTTTCTAGTTGGTTTTGGTTGTGGCTTAATGGGTTAAGTGACAACTTAACCCTTAAAATGCATTGCTGGAAAATTCAGCAAAAATTACCAACCTGTCCCCGTTTTCAAAAAATCTAGAAAAATCATTAGAAGTCGGATTAATGATCCGTAAATTCTTAAAGTTTGAAATTTGATTATAGTTTGTCCATGAATTTTTCCAAGACTTTTTGTTGCCTCCAACTTAGGTGAAAATCACCTTTTTCACTGACTGGTTGGAAATTAGCTGTACGGATAGACTATTTTCTAAAAATCATATAAAATTGTAGAAAAATCGTTTGGACTTTTAAAAGTACTTTATGAAAAGATAAAAGTATAAAATACTTGTATCTACAAAAATATTGTTTAATTTGCCATCATTCGTGGTGTTAAAACAACTTCGAATAGGTGGCTACTACGGGTCAAAATCTTGAACTTTGTTCTAAACGTTCGTCTATATGTTTAGGCATTCTACTCTCAATGTTTTTGTGTCAATCTGTTTGATATTCTAATAAAAGTACATAATTGATGTTTTAATACTACCATTCAATCACCTTTTGTGTAAACTTCAGCAACTATAATCATTTACCTAAAGTCTTGAATCATATAGTGATTTTTGGTGAATGTTTGAATTCTGCACAACTTTTCCCCATCTTGTGAGAGATATAGCAGCTAATCCGGGCAAAATTGCAAGATGCTCCTATCTCATGAAGTTCTAGGAAATCGAATCTAGTTTCTAGAATGTCTGATGTAATCCCAATTGGAGCTGTAGATTAGGCTTTATAACCAGGGGCGGCCCAATAGGGCGGGCAAGCTGGGCGACGGCCCTGGGCCTCACAATGATTAGGGCCCCAAAATTAATTTCTTTTCATATTATATATATACATTTTATAAAATTATTTACGAAAGTTTTGGCTGTTGAGATGGTTATGAGCTGTTATTTTAGACGTTTCACTTTTAATTGGTGTCGGTTCGAATCTAATCTGTTAAATCAACTTTTTTAATTTGCTCGCATGCATTGTCTCTATTTCTTACATCTTTTATTATTCAATTGGGCGCCTTTTTTTATAATGATCATAGAGTGTTTTTATAATTCTTTTTTTAAATATTTTTTAATACTTTAAAGAACTTACGTTTTAATTCGTATTTCCTTGACTTTAATGAATTCAAATCCAAATTACAAAATATCACCCTTATATTTTTTGGTATTATAAATAAAACAACCAAATAATAGAAATGTTCTTTTTAACTCTTCTTGATTTTGACAAAACAACCCAACTATATATTTCATTTAAATCTTTGGTGTTTTTAGGCCAATTATCAATCATAACTTTTATATATGCAATATTTTTTTTTGCACCATCTTTTCATATATATATATATATATATATATATATATATATATATATATATATATATATATATATATATATATATATATATATATATATATATATATATATATATATATATATATATATATATATATATAATAACAATTATTTGTAGGTTTGTTAATAGAAATCATAATAACTTACCGATAAGACGGGTTATTCTTCAAATTTAGTTTTTTTTATAGTTTTCATCAAGGTAAGAATTTTTTTTTTTTTTTTTTTTTTTCAAATACTCATTTTTATTTGTTTCCAAATATCAAAGTGACCGTTTTTCAAAATGGTTCGTTTGTTAGATTGTTTGGTTTTTTTAACTCATATTCTTTAAACATAATATGTTATTATATATATATATATATATATATATATATATATATATATATATATATATATATATATATATATATATAGGACTGTAAACGAACTGAACGTTCGGCTGGAAGTTCGTTTATGTTCGTTTATTTAATAAATGAACGAACATGAACAATGGTCTCGTTCGTTCATTTATGTTCGTGAACGTTCGTTTATGATGTTCATTTATGTTCGTTTATGTTCATTCGTTTAAGTTTATTTATATATTCATCTATATTCAATTATGTTTTATTATTTTGCTATATTATATGTTCGTTTATGTTCATATATGTTTAATTGTGTTTTTTTTTTTTTTTTTTTAATCTTTGTTCGTTTAGCATGTTCACGAACATAAATGAACGAACATGAACAAAGTAATTTGTTAAACGATCGAACATGAACAAGAAAATCTCGTTCGTTTATCCGTTCGTATTCGTTTGTTGTTCAGCTAATTTAAACGAACGAACATTAACAAGACCTTGTTCGTGTTCGTTTGGTTCGTTTACAGCCCTATATATATATATATATATATATATATATATATATATATATATATATATATATATATATATATATATATATATATATATATGGTGTAATAACAAGTCCTCCGATACCCGTCTCCATTGACATCGTTGTATTATCGTTTGTGATTATTAATTTTTAAAGGGCCTCATTTTTTGTTTTTGCCACGGGCCTCAAATCGTCTTGGGGCGGCCCTGTTTATAACTAAAACACTGAACGGGGGTCGGGCAGCGATAATATAAAAATTAATACAAAAGTTAGAATAAAGTTGTATTTTTGAAACATATACTTTGTTTGTTAATTGAATGTTATGTGTGGTGTTTAGGTAGAGCCTTGAGAACTTCAAGTAAGTTCAAGACTTAAGGTGAGTTCTTAGTTTTAACTCACTAAGGTTGCATTATTGAAACGTGCAATCCGTAGATGATGATTTGATTCACTTTAGGATGACCATGTCATTACCTGTGCTTGCTGATGATATGATATATGTGATGCTAAAATACGCTTTGTGCTAATTCCATGATATGACCTAATTGCTATGTTGCTTACACTTTGATGTCCTCGATGTATACGAGATGCTAGCTTAAGTTACTTGAAATATGATGTATGGTTATGTTTTGATGTGTTGGTTATGAATACATTGCATGTTTAATACACATTTATATGGTATGCACTAAATGCTTTACTTAATGTACAAATGACATTGCGGGGTTATACGTAGTGAGTTTGGGTAGTTTGATGATCTTTGCCTAAAACCTTATCCGGATCATTGAGGGTGCCTACTAGGTTGAAAGAGTACCTATAGGAAGAGATATAGCCACAATGGTGATTAGTTGCTGGTCTTTCTAGATGACCATGTGACACATGGTTTGCGGGCACTTTAGTGTTCGTGGGCTGGAGTGATGTTGGTCCCTCGTTCGCGGCCAACACAAACATCACGTGCGAATCGGGAGGTGTATCGTTGGAATTGGCACCGTTTGTACCGATCCTGAACAACACCGTGGGGTACTTGTACTTTGCAAGTCGGAGTAGCGAAAGTGGAGTCATGTGGTTGGTGTTTCGGGTGGAAGTCATGAGCCACTTAGAGCATTCGGCTGGCCATGCACACAAGTAGTAAACGGAGTGTTTTTCTTTGGTTAGGTTGCACTAAGAGACACATTTCTATCAATCGGTTGGATAGATATAATAAAATGTTGAACATGTAACAAACGGTTGGTTGCATATTAAAAGGTTGAATATATAACCAACGTTGGTTATTAATAAAAGGATGAACATGTAACAAAAGGTTGGTTACATAATAAAAGGTTGAAGATATAACAAAGGTTGGTTATTAATAAAAGGTTGAACAATTAAAGGTTGCTTAAATATGAAATGTGATAATTTATATGTTATGTGGTTGCTTATGTGGTATTTGGTTGAGCATATATGTTATGTGGTAGAATTATGATTAAACATATATGTATGTATGCGGTTGAATAATTATGATATGCGATTGTTTTCTAAGTGGTATTTGTCTATTATTTTTATGCTTCATCATAAAATGAATGATTGACCCATTTGGGGTTTGTATGTTTTATGTGCAACATTTTGAATGCACTCAGTAGGGGCTGATACTTGTATCATTTCTCTTTTGTGTTATATGATTGGTGTAGGCAGTTTAGAAGATTGGCCTTGGTGAGAGGGGTTCTTATGGGTAGTAAATTTATATTTACGATACCACTCTTTGACACATTTTTGATTATTTACTTTAAAGTACTATTGTTTACATTTTAAATGGTTTGGAATTATGTTTGAATTTTTGAAGTAACATTGTGGTTTCAAGAATGTTTTGAATAAAAAAAACTGAGACTTCTGCTAACGTATTCTGTTAAATAAATGTTTAAAAGAAATTTATGGTAAAATTCACGATGTTACAAATTAGTATCAGAGCCATGCTAGGAGTGAACTGAATACAGATGCCAGTGTTCAGACTCGCAGCTTAGTTGGCTCATTTAGGACCTTTAGGTACTTGAGGGGGGAAGGGTGTGTGTTGAGCATTGTAGGATAATTGCTTATCAAGTTTCCATTCCTAATAAAAATGAAACTCTTTATAAATTAGGATAATGTCGAACGCTATGGAGAATGTGAATGCTGGAGGAACGGGTGGCAGCCAAAATAATCGCACTCCTGGGACACCGCCGTTCATGTTTTCGACCCTGCCCATTAACTTCCAGCCACGAGCCCAACCGTCACAGAGCGCACGCAGCACTGTAAGTGCCACCATCATTGCTGACCTTCAGGAGCAGTTCCAGGAGTGGGATAAGGCGTTAGAGCAGATGCGACAGGAGATGCATGTCGCTGGTCTATTGCCACCTGAGGGCGAGAACGAGGGTGGAGATCAATCATTTGATAACGAAGCACATAGTCGTTCCGTGCCAAGGCAGGAGGTCGTTGGAGCTGTCAGAGGCCGAGGAAGTTCATTCAGAACCTTCATTAACTGTAAGCTGCCTACCTTTGAGGGAGGCGAGAGTGTTGTGGCATGCCTTCGTTGGATTAGGAAGATGGACCAAACCTTCCAATCTGGTGAATTTACTGAGGACCAGAATATGAATTATGCGGTGCTAACATTCGACAAGGAAGCACTCGAGTGGTGGGACACTATTGATGTACGACTCACTAAGGTCACTCGGAGGGCTATGACTTGGGAAATTCTTAGTAAGAAGGTGAAAGATCATTTCTGCAGTGATGGTAGCGTACAACAGACGCAACAGGAGTTTTTGAATCTTTAGAAAGGTAGCATGACGAATGCTAAGTATAACACCACCTTTACTGAGAAGTCACAGTTCGCTACTGATTACTGACTGACCGAGGAGAAGTTGATTTGTCACTATGTTGAAGGGTTACCATTTAAGTACCGTGCAATTGTGAGATTAAAGACCACTTTGGTCGAGCCCATGGATGAGGCCCGCAAGATAGAGAACGATATAGCTATTTGGGATCGTACCACAACGATGAACGGGGAAAAACGTAAGTGGGAGGGTCAATCGGGGTCCTCTAAAAGCAGAAATTTCAAAAGAAGGGTGAAACATCAACATTTTGTAAGAAGTGTCACTCTTCTGATGTAGGTCCATGTAGTAGCAGTACCAAGAGTTGCAAGCGATGTGGTAAGGTGCGACACCGTTATGAAGATTATAAGAGTGTTGAACCTATGTGCTACAATTGTCGCCAAATGGGACATATCAATACGCAATGTCCCAACCCCGAGGTCCAGATGGGAGCTGGTGAGAAGAAAGATGAAGCACCAAAGGTGAAAGCTCTTGCTTTCAATATGACAACCGATGAGGTAATTTTTGGGAACCCTCTTAGTTAATTTTGTACATGTTTATGTGTTATCTGTGCTTTTGTGTTATTTGATTGTAACGCCCACGTTTCCAGGCTAGGCATTATCATTGATGTAAAAGTCTACGTTAACCCTTGTAACTCTTTTTGAAGTATTAATGATGAAATATTTGAATATTATGTGAATTATGTGTTTATTTTCTTAATTATTATAATTTAATGAATTAAGAATAAAATAAGCGTCAAATTTGAAGTGTGAGATAAGCTCGATATCTTTGCATAAAGATATAGTGGTCGAAAAAAGGATTCCGAAGACATAAAGAATGCCGAAATCCGAGTTATAACGAAGAACTTATGACTTGTCGATGTTTCGCGACAGAATCGACAACGCTGAATGACGTAAAAAGTGAACTTTACGTTAGAGCAATATTTAGCCTTAGTGATCTTAACGAAAATCGTAGAGTTCGTTAAATCAAGAGTGTGCATAAAAAGAATGCTCAAATCTGACTTCGTATAAGAAAGTTATGATTTTTCGAAGTTTCAACTTAGCAGTATGTAGCCCGAATACTCGATTTGAGACCGAGCGGATTTTAGCCAAAACAATCTAAATGAGAATCTAAGATCTCGTCGATGGTAGTGAAACGATAAAAAGATAGGCGAAAACGGGCGTCTCATGAAGAAGTTATGAATTTATAACGGAGTTTTCCTGTCCCGCCCTACGAAAAATAAATAATAAAAATAAAGTCAAAATTAGCCGACGAAGTCTAAACGAAAATTGTGGAGCGTAGTCTCACCTACATGTGGATATAAAGAATGTCAAAAATAGAGTTCGTATGAAGAAGATATGAATTTTCAAATTTTATTATTATTATTATTATTATTATTATTATTATTATTATTATTATTATTATTACTATTATTATTATTATTATTATTATTATTATTATTATTATTATTATTATTATTATTATTATTATTATATATATATATATATATATATATATATATATATATGTATATATATATCGGATGATATCCGAAGGGGGGAGGAGTCACCGTTCCGATCAACATTACGCCCACCATAGTGATGTACGCCCAGCGTACCACTCGAGTGCTCCGGGTTCGTAACCGATGATGACGAAGCTCCGATGATGCAAGCAGTGACCACTTCGGAGGAGTACGCCCCACGTAAGGGGAGTACGCCCAGCGTACTACAACGCCTCAGCCTCCTATAAAAGGGCATGCGAGGGCAGCCTTATTCTTTTGCCAAATTCTTCCTTTCTCTCTAGTTTTTGCCTCGATTTGCATGCCGTTTATAACCCGAAGCCTCGGTATTATTCCCAAGCCCCAAAGCAAGTTCCGAAGACCCGAAGATCCCGAGAAGTGCAATTCCCAAGTCGAAGCTCTGCCCGTAAGGAGTCCGGTTTTTGTGAAGATCTTCCAAATCTTCCGAAGAATACTACTTCTACAAGCTGTAGTGCTGTCCGATCATCTTCTGATCAGGTGAGTATGTGGTTACTTTCTTCTAACGCATAATTATAAAGTATTTTATACAAAATACGTGTTATGTGTATATTTTGTTGTTATATGTGTGAATATATATTCACTTTCTTCTATCTCATAGATATGATTTATTCTCTATGAAATACGTGTTATGTGTATGTGTCTCATCTGTTGTTTGGAATATGTATTGAATGAGAATACTATACAGGTTCTAACTATGTATAAATATATATATATATATATATATATATATATATATATATATTTATCTACTAATATGTCGGATAGAACATGGGTAGATAGTTGTGTGATAAACAGATGAGAGGCCTCGATGTTGTTTTTTATTCAGTCAGCTAGCGGAGTTTAGATGACGACCACATACTTTTCTAGATAGTCGTGTGAAACACTAGCAGGTTCGCCACCTGTAGGTGTTAATGAACTTGGTTGGTTATTCGTTGTACTCCATCGCTCTCATGGTTGCCTTATTTGACATATATTGCCGAGAAACTCCCGAATGCATGTGTTGTCGCCTCGATGAAATATTCTTAGACTAGGTCCCTTGTGTTAGTTATTTTAGGGACGTAAAGTGAGAATAACGGGAATGGGTAATTGGGTTATTGTTGGTTGATGAAAATTAATTTAATTATTTATTGTGGGTTGAAAAACCTATATGTTCACCAAGCTCCAAAGCCTGACCCACTCAGTTTATTTGTATTACAGGAAGTGGCGCAAGGGCATAAGATGGATGAATCATCAAGTTGTTTTGTTTACAAGTCTGTATATGTATATATTTATTGAATAACTTGTAATGTTATCGTTTATGCTTTATGGTCTGTATCGGACCATAACATCCTGAGTTTTGATTATATAATGAAAATACATTTCTTTATGAAATACTTTGATAAATATTATTTTATCATACTTTGTTTTTGGGAACAAATTCCGCAACTCTTTCAAATAAAAAGGATTTACTCTAAAATTATTTTAAAAGCATAAATGAAAATCGGTCTTTTCTGGCCGAGATTTTGGGGATGTCACATTGATGCTAGTTTTAGTAACTAGTTTGTATCATTGCATTTATGTAGTCATTTATGGTGTGTCTCGGACTCCATTAGTTACGATGTAGATATTGATGTGGCTATGTTTGATTTAGTCATAATACATGAAAAGTTTGATTGGTGTGATATCTCTGTTGGTGAAAACACTTTTACATTGACATTGATTCATGTTGGAGTATAACACAAAGAGGCGACATAGGAATAATAAGAAGCATAGATATAGAGATTCCGAGGACGAAATCTTTTTAAGGAGGGGAGAACAGTAACGACCCAAAAATCCTATCGTAAACAATGTTAGTTGTTCCGTTACTCAAAGAACTATTCATGCAAAATATTTTAGTTTTATGAGGTTAAAAGGGAATAAATTAACTAAAAATAGTTTTATTTAATATCAAAAAGAATTAATCACATGAAATGTGTAAATTAATGAAATTGATTTATGGAATGATTAGGGTAAAAATAATTCATTTTAGGGTTTATTATGAGTTTAGGTGCTAAGGTGTCATTTATAGGAATCTAATTTGTCAAGAATACTAGGGTTAGTGTAAAAGGGGTACAATATGGAGAATTAAGGGGCTAGATGGCAAAATTTGGAGTAACCCCCAAGGAGAAGGATCGATCCTTCTCCTTGTGTCCATCCATTCACGTGAATACATAAGAAGAACAAAAAAAACGATCACTACTTCTTCCTTCATTGTGTGTGTCGTCGGTTGAAGGCCAAGAAGAAAAGAAAAAAAAGCATGAGCGGCTTGGAGGGGAAGAAAAGTCGAGCCGAGCAAGGAGGAAGAAGAGAGAAGGATTTGCTTGATCGATCCTAGAGGGAAGAAGGCTGCGATTCTTGGCTAATTGTGGAAAAAAATTCTCTTCTAATCTCTTTTGTTGTGTTCATATGTCAAATTCCTTGTCAATTGAATATTAGGGTTATCAATTCTCTTCCTTTTTTATGATTACAATCTCATCTTTTTCTTCCTAGCAACCTTTGAAAGTTCATATGGTTTTATTCCATTGGTGTAGGGTGTTTTTGATGGCTTAATTACTGTCAAAATTTCTTATGAACACCTTGAGTGATTTCCTTGTTCAAGTTCATGTTTTTGTTATCTTCATTCTTTTAGATTCGTGTGATTAATTTCCTCATCTAAGAACTTGTTTTGAACCACCCAAAAGGTCCTCAAAAGAGTCCTTAAAAGGTCTTAATGTGAGGCTTAATGGTGGAGAAAACTCAAGCCCTAGTGGTGTTTTCTCTATTAGCAAAGTACCTTATTTTTCTCATATAAGCAATGTACTTTGAATCATGGCTTGAGATTAAAATTATTATTTTAACTTATTGAGATGTTGCTACTGTTAAGACCTCGATTTACAACTTTCTAGTTGGTTTTGGTTGTGGCTTAATGGGTTAAGTTGTCAATTAACCCTTAAAATGCATTGCAGGGAAATTCAACAAAAATTACCAATCTGTCCCTGTTTTCAAAAAATCTAGAAAAATCATTAGAAGTCGGATTAATGATCCGTATATTCTCAAAGTTTTAAATTCGAGTCTAGTTTGTCCATGAATTTTTCCAAGACTTGTTGTTGCCTTCAACCTAAATTGCCTTTTTCACTGATTGGTCGGAAATTAGCTGTACAGATAAACTGCTTTCTAAATATCATATAAAATTGTAGAAAAATCATTTGGACTTTTAAAAGTACTTTCTGGAAATATAAAAGTATAAAATACTTGAATATACAATAATATTGTATAATTTGCAGTCATTGGTGGTGTTAAAATGGCTTTGAACAGGTGGCTGTTGCGGGTCAAAATCTTGAACTTTGTTCTAAACGTTCGTCTATATGTTTAGGCATTCTACTCTCAATGTTTTTGTGTCATCTGTTTGATATTCTAATAAAAGTAC